TAAATTTGGTTAAATGTGACTGAGTTTTTATCGATCCAGTTTTCTGGAAAAAATCATCAAAAAAAGAAATTATTACATTGGAAGATTCAGATCTCGAGCGACGATTTCTCGGTCCATAGTCAGCTTTACTCCATCTTATCTGCCAACCCACCCGACCCTCCCCTTAGCTAACATTTTGTCCCAACGTGAGAAGTTAGTGTTAATTTCGGATTAGGGGAGGGGTAGGTGGGGAGTATGGTAAGAGGTTTTCGTCCTCGGCAAACCTTCAAGGGTTTCAAACCCTTGGCAGCAATGTCACGCCCAAACGTCCGCCAAGTATCCTATTTCTAGCTCTCTTGGATACCAGCAAAATCCGCTCAATCTCTTTTACTCCTGTAGCCTGCATAACAAGCGATATTTTTTCAGTTTCTTTAGTGCGAGCGGGCGAAGGTAAGTTGGAAGCAGGGCGGATAAACCTTTATCGCCCTGGTTGGAAGCGAGCGAGGAGAGCCAGGCACAAGACCGGGGAAGGCGTTCCTCGCTCGCTTCCCGCTTGCCTTCGCTCGCCTGAAAAACGCGAAAAAATAACACCTGTTTTGCAGGCTATAATTCCTGGGCCAAGATTAAATATGAAATTTATAACAAAAAAAGCCCACAGAAGGAAGGAAGGAAGGCCTTGTCTGTTAAAAAAACAAAACGTGTTTTGAACGGAACGAAGAGACTGTGATTATCTAATAGTTGTGTCTAGCTGAGACTTCCCAAATTGATAATAAAAATTTAAAAACCCTGGGTACAGTTTTATCGTTGGGCTGCATTTGTTAATTAAAGGGCGTAATCGATCCTGAAAAAGCGAAATCAGGATTTACAATGTTTTTGGGTAAAGCGTTTTTCGTTTACGGGAGCAAGATTTCACGACTTTGCCAGTTTTTCCTTTACTTTTCCTTTCTCGCCAAATTTTCTAACCGGTTTTTCAGCCTTACAAAAGGTTCACTTGCCCAAAATCTTTTCAAAGAATTTATTTGAAATGTTAATTAGCCTTACAAGTCCCAAATGCCCCGAAGTGTATGTGGTAAACAACCCTTGTTCTTGCTACATAGGCACGTGCAAAACGAAAATCCAATCAGAAATTATTATTCAAATCAGAACGTTGCTCCGCGCCACATTCAAAAATTGATAGCTTCGGTCAAGAAAGCTGACGAAAGTTGCTCACGAAAGAGAAACAAGACGCTTTCACATAAACTGACAATCCGTCTTTCTCAGCTTCACTACAAGAAAGCTAACTGTGGAAACATTCTGGGATGTTAAAACCAGCGCCTGAGGTAAATTACTTGTTAAAGCTATCGCCAGTTCGGTTCACATTTGTATTCCGTAAACTCCAACTTAAAATTAAGTTAGTTCGTTGTCCAATGTTCTTGTTTTGAATTAAATTTATTTGTCCTCAGAGGAGAAATAGCAAGTAGAAATGTAAGCAAATGCTCGAGCAAAATTTGTCCATGATTTTGAGAGCTCTTCGTAGTACAAGGCCGTACACGTGGCTATTACTCAAATACACGCAGAACTTAGTGGGGACCTCAATGTCCAGATAAAGGGACCCTGCAAATTACGTCTTTCTTTCGTTCTAAAATTATATTGGTTACTAAGAAAGGAATTTGCAGAAACGACAAATTTGATTCATTTTTTACTCGGTCCACAACAGCGATACTTTGGCGGAGTTAATATCACAAAATGAGGCCACCGCGCCTTTAAATAAAGATGTTCAAACCTATTACCAAAAACCTCGAAGCTAATAGCGAAATATTTTTTCGTGAATTTCTGTTCATTGAAAAAGCAGTTTTGTATTTAATAGAATAAAGAAAAAGTGCCATAAACTTGAACTGAAGTGTTGAAGACGGGAGATGTAAGAGGCCGTAGTTGTCAAAGTTTTAATAGGGCAATTTCGAACAATTTTTCTTTGTAAACTGTTCGATATTTGCTTCCATTAAACAGGTTGTAATTCTGAAATTTATTGAAATGACACGTTGATTCGCACTCATGTGATGTAACAGCGTCACGCGCGACCTCTGGCACGTTCTCTCGCGCGAAATCTCGCGTAAATAGATTGCGACAGAGCCTGTATGGTTACTACGATGTTGTACATTGCAATTTTCGATACTTATTATGAATGGAAAAGATTCGCAAAAAGATCGTCACCAGAGACACGTTCACTTGATATAACTACATAACTCGTGACCTCTCGCGTGAATAGATTTCCATAGAGCCTTTACAGTTACTATGATGTTCAATATTGCAAATTAATGGTACTCAAGAAATAGAACAGTTTGGCAAAGATCGTCATCAGAGCCACAACCTCATGTGATATAACTACATCACCTGCGACCTTTCGCAGGATCTCTTGCGTAAATAGATTACGACAGCTAGAGTCTGTGTGTGTTACCAAGACGTTTGACATCGGAATTAAAAGAGTCGCAGTTAACGTCACTATAGCCCTGAAAATGTTTGGTTGGGTTTTTGCAAACCTTTTTCGGTTTAAACTATCCGGTTTTTCAAAGTTGCAACTGAATTTCAAAAATAAAAGTATTTCCTTTTTTTTCTGCTGTTTCTGTTTACGTTGCTCTCTGATGTTTTATTGAGCCATTTCACTACTATAAGCTCAGCTTGTTATCTTTTCAATTTTCAGCCGTCAGACCAGACCATCTTCCTCAGGCAGACCTCAAGATTAGACCATGATACCAGTCCATCAGACCACCGCACCAGACAATCAGATCAGAGATCAAGCTACAGCAGCCTCGTACACAACAGAACATCGTCAGACCCGACGATCAAATCAGACCATCAGAACAGACCACCACCGTCAAACCAGACCACCAGATCAGATCAACCCGCCAGACCACAGACCACCATCCTCCAGACAGAACAGGATACCCAACCCCTTGAAATGGTACAGGTCAGGTGCATTCTTTATGGGTTGGGACAAGGGGGGTATATAGAGCTCTGGATGAACCTTGCAAAGCATACTTTCCACACACTTTCGGCCTGAAGTTTCCGGACTTTTTTTCGGCTTAATCTAACTTTAGTTACTTTAGATAGTGGGGTTCCCAGGGCTGGTAAGGGCCTCCCCTTCCCTTTTTCATTAGATGGGTTCCTTTGCAGGTGTTCATTCAGCAATAAGAGTTCGGCTTTTAGGAATAGGTTCGGCTTTTTGGATTCGGCTTCGATTCTAGGAAACGGTTCGGCTGCATCTTTTTACGCCTTTTCAGATGGACGTCACCACCGCTGCTTTTCTCGTCGTCGTCGTCGACTTCACTACGATCTCCCGCTTAGTTGCGCCAATTTAAATTTATCTATCACACTTCACTTGACAGTCTGTGCGCTGCGGCAAGTGAAGCTTTCATTCGCAAGGTTCAACCAGATAGTGATTATTCTAAGACATAACTTAGTAAACTAGAGGCTTCGGATCATTAAGCTACAGTGAGAGTACCTCATTTGGTCACTGCTTACAAGCTTAGTGGTCTCTCTGGTTACAGGTAAATAGTTAGAATAGCCTCGCAAATTTGGGTCTGCTCCTACCAATTTGGCTTTAATTAATTTTGATGTTAAAAAGTACAAGTGTGAAATGGAATTTTTTTATCCGCAATTTCAGACCTCGAACTTGTGATGGTAGATCAGTTAACAGGTTTAGTCTTACAACAAAGGTAATCTGGAACCAGGCGTTTCTTCCCGCGAAGAGTTAACACCTTGTTGCAGGTTACAAGGGCAACATGGGGCAATCCACACACCACAGGCTAGATCGTTTACAAATCGTAAGCGTAGGTAGTCTTCGAGACCAATCAACGACGGTGTTTCATCGTTCGAGGAACAAGAAGATGCCGACAAGCTAACTTAAGTTTATTAGCCCGCGAAGTAATCACGAGAATGTATCGAATTTGGACCGAATATTTCGGGGACACACATGTGAAGGCCCACCATACCTTAATATGTGTGCCCCTGAATTGCATTCAAGTGAAAACCTCGCTGGTTATAGATAGTATTTCCCGATCAGTATAAGTAGCAGGAGAGGATACTTTGGCTTGGCATTGTTGACACTAAGACGATCTGATTTGTCTTCCTGTTAATTTTGCTTGGCTGGAGGGTTTTCTTCTTAGGAAGTCCTGCATTGCACTGTGCAGGCACAGATCGTCTACAAATGGTAGGCGTACGTAGTCTTCACGTCGACCGTTCGTGGCTATAATGGCTTCTTCGTCCTCCAGACGTCGTCAGCATTGTTCTACCTCCAACAGCTCTTGAAGTATGTCACGACTGGGACCAAATCCTATACAGCACATGTTTCTTCAACTTTTTTTCTGAATCTTGTAACAAAATGTTGGAAATATGAATAAAATTTATTTTATTATATTGTTTCATATTGTATTGTGGGTCACGTGTAGCATCAAGAAGAAGAGGCCGGCCGAAGAAAGGAGAACAAAGAACTTCGAGAGCCTTAGAAAGATAGTCCAGTAGCCCTGTTAATTAAGTAGGCCAGGTACCTTCCTTTGCAGCCATGAACGGAGAAGAAAGAATCACGTCGGACCAAACTGGACAATAACGATGATGACGATGCCAATGGGTGATGTTGATCGTTTACACTAAGAAGTCATTCTGCTTTTATGGAAATAGAAGCCGATGACATCTTAGTGTGAACGACTTCATCATTAGGAAGGCCAGGTTAAGCCAGATGAGACAGCATAGAGTAATATAATAACATTTAAGAGCTGTCTCGACTAACGTTGTTATTTCCATAATTAAGACCCTACATTTCCACTCTCCTTCCTTGTGGAAACGAATTTAAAAAATTTTTGAAACAAATCAAACAAGCTGCCCTTGAAATTTAGAATTGGAAAAAGCAATTCCAAAAACTGCTCCGAGCAGAAGTTAAATTTCGTCGTATTTCGGATCCTGTGTTGGGTAATTATTGTTCTTGTCGCGTAGTACAATTTTAGCTGAGACAGCAAATATATGTAATAATTTTAATTTTAATTGGCCGGCCGGACTTCATCTTTGGAGCAACTCCAAGTGATCATCATCATCATCATCATCAACAACAACAACAACAACTTCATGGACTATACCTATCTATGTCTTGGTCTATTGGATTTTTGGTCCCAGTATCCTTGGTCCTTTGTTGGAGGAACATGACGACAGAGTACAGCAGCCCATATAAGGTAGGGCTGATTGATGTTGGTACAAAGTTTGCACAAAGCAGACCCCTTTGGTCTGCAATAGCGTACGGTAAATTGAATTTCCGCGGCACCATTATTCTTCTAGAAAAGTTCATAGCTAATGCAAACCTTGCACTACATCAATCAGCCCAAGCAATAATTCAGTGTGGCACCAGGTATGTGGATTTTTTTTCTTTGTTAGGCGATTAGTTTTTCGGTTCGGTCCATTCGGCTTTTTTCCGATCTTCGATTCGACTTGCGATCTGTTTCCGGATTTGACTTCGAAAAATGTGAAGGCTTGGTATCGACGATGTTTCGATAGCAAGCTGCCAAATATCCCTGCGTACCGTCCGGGGGACCCTGGTGTGTTTCATTCGAGGTGTCAAGATTTATGGACACATGTTACACTCCTCGGTCTAACGATCCCGGACGCCAAATTCTTGTAGGAGCGCACCCCATATACTACTTAATCATTTCTGTAAACGGCTAATTCAATTCAATAAAAACACATTATCTAATTTAATGCGTTGTCTGTGTGTGATTTTTTTAAATATTAAGTTATAGAGTAATTAGTTAAAAGCACTAATGATGATTTGATTTGCAGGTATCTTACAAAATACTTGTTGTAATAAGATCAATGAAAATAAAACATAATAAAAAACAAAGTTGTGATTGTGGTGTCCTTTACACAGTTACGCGCGCGCACTAACATTGTGTCACAACAGTGTGTTCTACAGCAAACACACAAATAACTAACTTTTTTATTTCAGGTAGTAGTACATCGAAAATCATTCTTTTTCAGTTTTTTGGCCTCTACCTCCATTTTTTTCTTGAGCGGATGAAAACACATCTTTTTTGGGGGCGCGCCCTTTCAAGATCGCACAAGCTTTTTTTCCCTGCCCTTGGATTACTTTTTTTGGATGCGTTCTTGAAGAAACGCATGGCACCACCAACGAGGAAGTCGAAAGGAAGTGCGAAATGCAGTATAGAAATTTGTAATTGATTTGTACGTAATTTGAAGCTGGTGAAAAATAAAGTTTAAAAACAAAAGAGCAATTCATCAGCTTCTTTTTTCCTTTCCTTCCTTTAAGCAATTTAAATAAGTTAGATTTTTGTTGTAACTTGGTTGCTTTACTGCAATAAACAATAAATGTTTGACCAACACAATGTCGCTTCATAAGTGTATTTTTTTTTTCTGTTAAAGCGATAATAAGTAATTTAACAAGTTTTATTACAGGAAATTCGGCCATCTTCTTTTTAAACGTTTTCTTCGCTGGAACATCGCTGCCTCGAAGACGTCGTTTTGGGCGCGCCCTCTCAAGACCGAGCACGCCAAACTGATTGTTTGACGTATGGTCTCAAGAAGCTCGTTTTGGAAGTACTTCTGGCTGCGTTCCTGAAGAAACGCATGGCGACATTAGTTACGACTGAAAAAAGACTCCAAGTTCTAAAGGTAACACAGATATTTTTTCTTTTTTCAGTTGTTTTAACTGTTGGATGATCTTTTTTGTTTCAGATTAAGTGCGTCGGTGAAGTGAGCTTTTTTTCAGCGCCTAAGAGGTAAGGAAAATGAAACTGACCATGAGAACACTAAATCTGATTCTGCTGATAGACGCACTTAACTTCAGATGATGTTAAAACTCATTCATTCAGGCTTTAGTGGGATTCAAACCCACGATATTTGTTTAGTTACTGGTAGTCATAATCTACCAAAGAGTGCAATTTTCAAGACGTACAAAAAAGGATCTGTTTGATGATACCTGACAGATATTGATTGGATGTCAGTAGTTAGTTCCAAGGCCTTTTAAAGGAAATGATGTCTGCAACCGGTTTTCCAACTGCACCACAAAACCAGTGAATTGTTATTACTTACTCTGTTTTTCAAGAAGTGTTTCATTTAGGTCAGAGAAGTCTAGCCGTGTTATGGCAGCCCTGAACTCCCATCAACAGCGATCTGCAGTCGGTAAGAACCAGTATATACGAAAGTCTTCGTTTTCAAGAAGATAAACATTATTTTCCAAGGAGTGCGTTGTTTCGTTCAAGGAAAGAGTTTTAAAGTCATTTGTGCCCGTCCGAACTGACAATCGTAAATTTACAGCTTAACTGGTTTCTGTTCCAGTGGGATTCCAACCCGTGAACATTGCTTCGTTAGTAAGCAATCTAATATGAAATATAACTGGTATTCAAACGCCAGGACATCTAAACCACGTCCCCATGGCGAGGGCTGAAAAAAGCTGTATATATTGAAGTTGAGTTTCAACTGTCACAACACAACGTTATCTTTGATAATCTGTTTTAAAAGCTTTTCATTTAGGTCTGCAATTCCAGTGCTTAACTCCGACGGTCCTTACATAACATTAACCGGCCTGGTGACGTATAGGTATGAACACATGACCCTTCCTACAAGATCCAAGGTATGTATCCTAAAGGTTAAAAATCTTTACCCAAAATATTCTAAAACGACCGAAAAAGCTTTTGATCAGTATTTTAAGCCATAACCTTGATTACAATGATCATCCTACTCACGTCTCTGAAGATTACTGTCGTTTTACGTTTTAATGGAATTCAAATCCACTGGGCCCTTTCTAAAAGTTGCACATAAGGACGCCTTTTTGGGATAAAAATCTGTAGCCTTTGTTTAACCGTTCGTGGTGGCGAGCATAATTCATCCAAATGCAGTTTCCTTAAATATGAAGTTTCCTCTTCGGTTTACAAATGTATTGCATATTAGAACGTATCCTTTCCTTCAATGGACTCCTAATCCAGGAAGGTTGCTGGATTTACGAGGTGTTAGTGGGATTCAAACCCACGGCTACTACGAGGAGCACAAAATATAATAGATTTTCATTTTTTCAAAGCTAAATTTCTTGTTCTTGAGATGTATTTTATTTAGATCCTAAAAGACTCCAGACGTCACATCCTGTCTGGCCTGCAGATCATGAAGTCCTAGCCGGCAGTGACTTGTGAACGATATGAGGGAACCTGCTTAACTCAACCTGCTTAACTCGGCAGAGGTAAGTATAAGAATAGAAAAATATCTAATACTCAACTTTCACTGAAAAGATTAGCGAGTACGTGGCTGAAAAGAAATTAGGCTCGGATAGAAACTGTGCGCGTAAAATTCCAACCTTTATGTACCGAATCAAATGAACTAAGTATGTGCTAAAACTGCAGAAATCGGAGAGATATTTATTACAAATGGAAAAGAGTCGCAATGATCGTCACCTGAGCCCTTAATCTTGGTTTGGGTTTTGCAAACCTTTTTCGGATTTAAGTACTTTTCAAAGATACAACTGAATTTGAAAAATTAACTCTTCCTGTACAATTTTTCTACGTTTCTCCTTAGCTATATACTCTGGTACTTAATTAAACCATTTAGTAATAATATCTCTTATCTTTTTTAATATCTTTTCTTCTTTCCAATTTTCAGTTCTCCGAACAGACTTCCAGGCAGACCTCCAAATTAGACCATCATACCAGACCATCAATTCAGCCCCAGATCAGAACACCAAATCAAAATACATCATTACATCGTCAGCCCGACCACCAAATCAGACCATTAGAGCAGACCACCACCACCAATCCAGACCACAGGATCAGATCAGGTTACCCCACCAGACCACAGACCACCGTCCTCCAAACAGGACAGCATACGCAGCCTCTTGAAATGGTACAGGTCAGGTGCATTCTTTATGGGTTGGGTCAAGGGGGGTATATAGAGCTCTGGATGAACCTTGCAAAGCATACTTTCCACACACTTTCGGCCTGAAGTTTCCCGAATTTTTTTCGGCTTAACTTAACTGTAGTTAGATTAGCTAGTGGGTTCCATGGGCTGGTAAGGGCCTCCCCTTCCCTTTTTCATAAGATGGGTTCCTTTGCAGGTGATCGGTCAGCAATAAGAGTTCGGCTTTTAGGAATCGGTTCGGTTGTTTGGATTCGGCTTCGATTCAAGGAAACGGTTCGGCTGTATCTTTTTGCGCCTCTTCAGGTGGACGTCACCACGCCGTCGTCGTCGTCGTCATCGTCGACTTCACTACGATCTCCCGCTTAGCTGCGCCAAATTGAATTGATCTATCACACTTCACTTGACAGTCTATGCGCTACCCAAGTGAAGCTTTCATTCGCAAGGTTCAACCAGATAGTGATTATTCTAAGACATAACTTAGTAAACTAGAGGCTTCAGATCATTAAGCTACAGTGAGAGTACCTCATTTGGTCACTGCTTACAAGCTTAGTGGTCTCTCTGGTTACAGGTAGATAGTTAGAATAGCCTCGCGAATTCGGGTCTGCTCCTACCAATTTGGCTTTAATTTTGATGTTAAACAGTATAAGTGTTAAGTGAACTTTTTGAAGCGCATTTACAGACCTCGAACTTGTGATGGTAGATCAGATAACAGGTTTAGTCATACAACAAAGGTAATCTGCGACCAGGCGTTTCTTCCCGCGAAGAGTTAACACCTTCTTGCAGGTTACAAGGGCAACATGGGACAATCCACACACCACAGGCTAGATCGTTTACAAATCGTAAGCGTAGGAAGTCTTCGAGACCAATCTACGACGCAGTTTCATCGTTGGAGGAACACCAAGAAGACGACAAGCTAACTTTGAGTTTATTAGCCTGCGAAGTAATCACGAGAATGCTATCGAATTAGACCGAATATTTCGGGGACACACATGTGGAGACCTACCATACCTTAATATGCGTGCCCCTGAATTGCATTCAGGTGAAAACCTCGCTGGTTATAGATAGTATTTCCCGATCAGTATAAGTAGCAGGAGAGGATACTTTGGCTTGGCATTGTTGACACTAAGACAATTAGATTTGTCTTCCTGTTAATTTTGCCTGGCTGGAGGGTTTTCTTCTTAGGAAGTCCTGCATTGCACTATGTAGGCACAGATCGTCTACAAATGGTAGGCGTACGTAGTCTTCACGTCGACCGTTCGTCGCTATTGGTTTTTCTGGTACTCCAGACGTTGTCAGCTTGTTCTACCTCTAACAGCTCTTGAAGTACGTCACGACTGGGACCAAATCCTATCCAGCACATGTTTCTTCAACTTTTTTTCTGAATCTTGTAACAAAATGTTGGAAATATGAATAAAATTCATTTTATTATATTGTTTCATATTGTATTGTGGGTCACGTGTAACATCAAGAAGAAGAGGCCGGCCGAAGAAAGAAGAACAAAGAACTTCGAGAGCCTCAGAAAGATAGTCCAGTAGTCCAGTTAATTAAGTAGGTCAGGTACCTTCCTTTGCAGCCATGAATGGAGAAGAAGAATCACGTCGGACCAAACCGGACAATAACGATGATGACGATGCCAATGGGTGATGTTGATCGTTTACACTAAGACGTCATTCTGCTTTTATGGAACTAGAAGCCGATGACATCTTAGTGTAAACAACTTCATCATTAGGAAGGCAAGGTTAAGCCAGAGGAGACAGTATAGAGTAATATTTTTTAAGAGCTGTCTTGATTAACGTTGAGATCTCCATAATTAAGACCCTACATTTCCTCTCTCCTTCCTCGTGGAAACGAATTTGAAAAATTTTGAAACGAATCAAACAAGTTTTTCTGGAAATTTGAAAATGGGAAAGGCAATTCTAAAACTGCTGCGCGCAGAAGTTAAATTTCATCGTATCTCGGATCCCATATTCAACAATTGTTGTTCTTGTCGCATAGTACAATGTTAGTTGAGACAGCAAATATATTAAATAATTTTAATTTTAAGTGGCCGGCCGGACTTCATCTTTGGAGCAACTCCAATTGATCATCATCAACAACAAAAACAACTTACAACAACAACAACAACAACTTCATGGACTATACCTATCTACGTCTTGGTCTTTTGGCTTGTTGGTCCCAGTATCCTTGGTCCTTTGTTGGAGGAACATGACGACAGAGTACAGCAGCCCATATAAGGTAGGGCTGATTGATGTTGGTACATAGTTTGCACAAAGCAGACCCGTTTGGTCTGCAATAGCGTACGGGAGATTGAATTTCGCGGCAACGGTTATTCTTCTATAAAAGTTCGAAGCTAATGCAAACCTTGCACCACATCAATCAGCCCAAGTAATAATTCAGTGAAGCACGAGGTATGTGGATTTTTTTTTCTTTGTTAGGCTATTAGATTTTCGGTTCGGTCCATTTGGCTTTTTTCCGGTCTTCGATTCGACTTGCGATCTGATTTCGGATTCGACTTCGAAAAATGTGAAGGCTTGGTATCGACGATGTTTCGATAGCAAGCCGCCAAATATCCCTGCGTACCGTCCGGGGGACCCTGGTGTGTTTCATTCGAGGTGTCAAGGTTTATGGACACATGTCACACTCCTCGGTCTAGTGAACCCGGACGCCAAATTCTATTAGGAGCGCACCCCATCTATATTTCACTGAATTTCTGTAAACGGCTAACTCAATTCAATAAAAATACCTAACCTAATGCGTTGTCTGTGTGATTTTTTCTTTTAGTTTAAGATTTAGTTTATAGCTAAGGTTTAGTTTTAAAGTAATTACTATAAGTACTAATGACGATTTGATTTGCAGGTATCTTAGAAAAATACTTGTTGTAATGGCCTTGATAAAAATAAAACAAACAAAAAAACGCTGAGTTTTCAGTCTGATGTCTTTTAACACCACCGCGCGCATTGACGTTAAGTGTCGTATCAGTGTGTTCTACTGTAAACACACAAATAACCAGTTCTTCATTTCAGGTACTAGCACGTCGAACATCATATATTTTTCCGTTTTTTGACTCGACCTCTACTTTTTTTCTTGACCGTTAATGGATCCTTTCTTGGGGGCGCGCCCTCCCAAGATTGTACATGGCTTTTGTTTTTCCACCCTTGTACCACTTCAGTTCTGGATGCGTTCTTGAAGAAACGCATGGCGCTTACAACTTGGAAGTCGAAAGTGAAGTGTTGAATGCATAACAGAAACTTTTATATTAGGGTTACTGTAATTGAAAGCTGATGAAAAATAAAGTTTACCAAACAACAGAAAAACTCATCAGCTTGTTTTTCTCCTTTTACTTAATCTAAATAAGTTTTATTTGTTGTAACAGAGTTACTTTTCCGCATAATGAACAATAAAGGTTGATCAAGACGAAACCTCTTCAACAGTGTATTTCCTCTTTAAAGCTATAGTAATCTAAGTAATTTAACAAGTTTATTTCAGGAACATCGGACGCGATCTTTTTTAAACCTTTTTTTCGCTCGAACACATGATCGCCGCCACGAAGACGTCGTTTTGGGCGCGCCCTCTCAAGACCGAGCACGTCAAACTGATTGTTTGACGTATGCTCTCAAGAAGCTCGTTCTGGAAGTACTTCTGGCTGCGTTCCTGAAGAAACGCATGAAGACACCGATTACGACTGAAAAAACGACTCCAAGTTCTAAAGGTAACGCAGATATTTGTTTTTTCTTTTAGTTGTTTTAACTGTGAAATGATCTTTTTGTGTTTCAGCTCTCGTGCGTTAACTAAATGTTTGCCAGCACCTTAGAGGAAAGGACGAAGGAAACGGGCCGTGAAGTACACTAAATCTGATTTTTCTGGTACATGCACTTTTCCTTAGATAATACTAAGATTTATTCATACAGGCTTTAGTGGGATTCAAACCCACGATCTTTGTTTTAGTTACTGGTACTCCTAGTCTACCAAAGAGTGCAGTTTCCAAGACGTTGGATTTAAAAAATCCCGGCACTGTCTTGAGTTTGTTTTATGATAGCTGACAGATAGAAAATGATTGGGTGCCATCAGCAGTCAATTTCAAGGCTTTTTTTTTTAAAGGAAATGGAGTTTGCAATTTGTTACCAACCGCTCTACAGAGACAGTTTTTTGACATTACTTTAATTTTGAAGAAGCATTTCATTTAGGTCAGAGAAGTCTAACCGAGTTATGGCAGTTCCAAACTCTTATCAGCAACCTGTAACCTGTAAGTACCCGAATATTATAGTAAAGTCTTCGCCTTCAAAAGGATAAACATTCTAAACTAGGTTTGCGTAGTTTCGTTGAACTCCTGCTGCACCAAAAGTCGTACATTTATAGGTAAACTGCCTTATCTGTTCCACTGGGATTCCAACCCGTCAGTGAACATTGCTTCATTAGCAAGCAAATCGATATGAAATATAACTGGTATTCAAACGCCAGGAAGTCTCCAGCTCGTCCCCTGGGCGAAGGAATCTGGAGAAAGTTGTAGAGTTTGAAGTTTACGTTCAACTGTCATGGTTCAACGTTACCTTTGATAATCTGTTTTAAGAAGCTTTTCATTCAGGTCTGTGCAATTCCAGAAGTTGTCTCCAACACACAGTCACTAATTAAAAGCCACTTAACCGGCCCAGTTTCTGATGACAGCGAGCAGTACAAGACGGAAGCCTCAGAAGTTTCTTTACTGCTGATACATGGTGATATGAACAAACCTGCCTGGCAGGCCAAAGGTAAGTACTGAAACGAAATTACGAATACATTAAAAAAAATGTGAGCAGGAATAAACTGTTAACAAGAAAAGCGCATGTTTGTCGAAGTTTTAGAACTACGTACCGGTCCAGTAGGTAGCTCCGCCTTTGTTTTGTTAAACCTTTTACTGAATTTCCTTGTATTCGTGTTTCCTTTTTGTAGGAAAATGTAGGAACTAGCTGGTGAGGCAACGTCATGAGTAGAGGGCTGGACTTTCACCTGTTGCATTGATCATGATGATTAATTATCTTGATGATGGTCGATGAATCTGATCTTCGATTCTTCAGCAGGTGAAACGTGCACTGAAACTTAACTAGAAGAAATGTGTATCACAGACTCTTATGAGGTATCGTATATACGCATTGTGTACCTGGAGTGAAGTGCGCAGGTCGGAGAGACGTGTTCGCCCGCCATGGGGAATAGAGTTGTGTTCTGCTAAATGCTTTGGTTTATTGCTTTGTGTTACAATATTTTGGCGACGAGGATGGCCGAGCTCGGGGTAGGGTGGCCTGTTAAATGATAAGTAAGGGAGGGTGGAGAGAAATAGAGTATAAATTTGTCCAGCTCAAGACCTATAATTACAATACAACAGCAAAGACAAAGTGAATTGAGTTTTCCCGGCAGTTCGGATGGTCTTGGCGTTCTTCTCCGAGGATTTTCAAAAGGCCAGTAGGGATAAAACTGAAAATAATGACATGCAGATGAAGCACACGATGGTCTCATTTGAAGCACAAAAGAAAAAAATGGCGAAGAAGGAAATAAATCAAGAAAAATGGAACAAAAATGAACTTAAAATAAGAAATAAATATAAAAGGAAAGAAAATAAATATAAACATAGTAAAATACTTAATAAGCTATCATAAATAATAAATTGAAAATAAAGTCAAATAAATAATACAAGAATAAGAAAACCAATAGTAATGATTACGATAATGATAATAATAAGAGAAAAGGAAATAATTGCATTAAAAGAGACTTCATCGATTTTTGAAAACGAAACTGCAAGGATTCTAAGGCAGTCACGTTTCAAAAATCAACAGAAATATCTTTTTAATTTTAAAGTCTTTTTAGATACACCTTTAATGCTTTTCCTTTTCTTTTACCGTCATTATAATCATTACTATTACTATTATCAACTATTGTTATTATTATTATTAATATTATTATTATTATCATTTTTAAGTTCCCTTTTGTTACATTCTTCAGATTTTTTTACCTTCTTTGTCGTTATTCTTTTGTGCATAAGTCATTATTTTTAAGTTTTGTCTCTATTAATAAGTTTCAAACTGTTCTATTAAATTTTCAACCGAGTCGATTTCCAACTATAAATTATAGGGACGGCCTGACCATTTGGATTATCTGGAAACGCCAGTCCTTTTTGTCTTTGCTTGTTTCGGCTTGATTAGTTAATTACATGCTTCAATCCAATGTAGGAACAAGTAAGAGAAAACTTAACTTTGATAACAAGTTCAATGATAAGCTGAATGAAGGAACAAATCAGGGAAAACTTAGCTTGATAATAAGTTCAGTATAACGTGTGGTCTTGCTTTCTTGAGAGAGATATAGGAACAGTGAGCCTTGACAAGCTGGGCAACCTGTGAAGAGGCTAGACGTAGATGACTGACACCTGTTGCATGGATAATGATGCTGATGATGTTATGACTATGATGATAATGACGATGACGCTGACCATGATGTTGACGATTATGCTGACAATGATGACGACGACATTGATGCTGACAGTGATGATGATGCTGAGGAAAATGCTGACGATGACGTTGACGATGACGACGATTAATGATGATGCAATGATAATAACGATGATGATGCAGATGATGAAGATGACGTCGCTGACGATGATGATGATGACGATGATGCAGAAAATGATGATGATGACGTTTTTAAGAAAGTTGTTCCTTGATGAAAAAACTCCAAAACTCAGTAAATGGCCATGGCGACGTCAAAATTGGTGAGTATCACAACAGTTATCTTTGTTATTCTTCGATACCTGACTGCTCCTCAATCGTCTGTCTTCTCTCACTCAAATATCAACGAGGGAAACGAGTGGAACATCCCTTCCCTGCATGCTGTAATAGTCTGTCTTTCGCGACTATTCCATGATGTGCTAGAGAGACAAGAGAAGCGGCTGGAACGAGTCAGCTTCAAAAGGGTAAACGCAAAAGCCTACAACCTACAGCGGGAGGAGTGAGGAAAAGCTTATCTTTGATAATTTTCCCTCGTTAAACTAGAGGTTTTGACTTAACTCAGTCTTCAGCTTTTCTTGCTTTACTTCAGTTATTAAAGCTGTGGACTGCAAGAGAAGGACTAAAACGCTGTTCTAGACTAAGACACCTCCATCAAATGGAGTTTGCCATTGATCGCACTTGCCTCTGTAATAAAGTCAAGGCTATACGTTCAGAAAAAAGAAAAAAAAACTCTGCTGCAATAGCAAAATAAACTTTGCAGATCCTTCTTAATTAAATTAAATAATAAAGGTATCTTATTTTTTCGTTCCAACAGCTTACGGGAAAAGAGTGCTTTTGGGTGTGTTCATATATCATATCGGAGGATGGATGTTGATGTACGCTACCCTCGCTACTACCCTACGTCACTGCAGCACAAGAAACCAATAACGAATATTTATGCAAGACCCACGTTTAAACAGACTGCTTTTCGCCACGCTCGCGCTTGCTTTCAAACATCATTGAAAAATCGGATTTCCACTTCTGTAAGGTTTCACTTTGACAATTGTTTCATCTTCTAAGCTTTTATACTATATTGAACTTTGTAAAGTGGCTATATTTATGAAGTGAAATTAAGACGCTGTTTAGAGTGAAAGAGCTGATAAAAGACCATAAAAAGAGGACGTTTTTTGTTGTTTTCATTATCAGTTTCATGATAAATGACTTGGAATGTATAGAAAATGTGAGAGCCATATTTATGTAAAGGAAGAAAGCTATTGTACGAATAATAGAATACCGTCGTTTTTGCGTGTAGGTCGAGTAATGTTGAATTTATCAATTCGGCTAAATTTAGAGCGTTACTTGGAACTTCTGAATTCTTCTTAATTAATGCCACAAACGCTGATTTTATAGCTTAACATGTAACATAAACTGCAATAACCTTCTAATGCATGAAGATTTTCAGAGGCTCCGAGGAAAATGTTTTGCCTGATCTGAATTTGTCCACAAAAGAAAAAAAAATTAATAGCGTCTATCTACTAAGTGATAGACAGGGAATAATAGCTTTCACCCTTTACATTGATCTAATAAGCATAATTTAAATATATTGCGAGCGAAAGCGCTTTGATATCATTGCTCTAACACTTTAAAACGGCGACAGATTTCAAATCGCGCTATTCTAGAGTCAGCCTCGCCGAGTATTTACCCTGAGAATATTTTTTTCTTTTCGTTTTCTTTTAACTTTCAGCCTAGCTAAAATTTTTATTAATTTACCCTAGCTTTAATTTTTTTTCTTGCGTTTATATACAGTAGCAGGCCTTAAATCCCCAAAGGCGTCACCATAGCACTGGTTGGGGCTACACGGTCCCTGTTTTTCCAGATTAAATTGGTTTTCGGGGTTTACGTGTCCGGCTATGGTGTAATATTGTTTTTTTGGTTACATTTTAGTTTATGTATTTCTTAACAACAAAGTATGATGGAGCTTATTGAAAAACTGATCATGAGTGCTTTTTTCTTTAGTTGTTCTTTTAAAGGGGACCCCAGAAGCCGATTGGGGGGCGCAAAATATTTTGTGTCAACCGACTTGAACCTTAATAGAGTGTTTTTACTTACGTGGCCAGTAGCTAGGAAAATTTATTACAGCAAAAGAAAGGGTAAAGAAAAAGAGAAAAAGGACTGGTTTGGGACACCAACATGGCAACCGTTTTATGATTGGTTTGGCACTGACCAATATTGCGAACTTGACTTCAGGTTTTGAAGGGTCCTGAAGGCTGTATAGCCAGCTACAAGCTAGTATACGTGCGAAACAATACCGTAACCTCACAACATGGTGGCTTAGGAAATTCTCGACTGTCACCTTTACTTCTCGCTCGATCGGCTTAATAGCGATGTATGCAAGCAAGCTACAAGTCTTCTTTCGCTTGTTAACACCTGTAGCTCTCATAGAAATTACTGTGAAGAACCAAGATGTCCAAAATCGCCAAAACGTATCTCGTATCGTTTGTCTGGCTTATAGCACCCTCCAGTTAAGTGATTGAACTCGTATTGAGAGAAACGCATTAAGCACATTTGTGCGATCAACGTACTCGTCTGACTTACATTGAACAACCCTCCCCTCTGCAAAGGACCGGGTCTTCTTTGTACTGCTAGGAGGGGACTGGGGAGAGGGCACAAGAAAACGCGCCGTTACCGATGGGAAGGGTGCGCATGTTCACTGCAGTACTTGTAGCCGCGGAGCTTATATTGATTTTTCTAAAGCTCCTTACTTTTAATACGGTCCAAGAAGGTGCTTCATAAAAGGAAACAATTAAAAGCGATAAAGTACAACATTGCATAAAATCTTCAATTAAGATATTTTTAATGCGGTAATACCCAAATGAATACACTCTAAATCAGAAAGATCTGTTTTAGCCCTAAAAACAGGGCCGTTTCGGTGAGTAAAATACAGTCCTAATTTTGGGTCTAATTTGGCTCCCTTAAATCAGGGCCAATACAGTCCAATTAGCTAGGGCTGNCTGTGAAGAACCAAGATGTCCAAAATCGCCAAAACGTATCTCGTATCGTTTGTCTGGCTTATAGCACCCTCCAGTTAAGTGATTGAACTCGTATTGAGAGAAACGCATTAAGCACATTTGTGCGATCAACGTACTCGTCTGACTTACATTGAACAACCCTCCCCTCTGCAAAGGACCGGGTCTTCTTTGTACTGCTAGGAGGGGACTGGGGAGAGGGCACAAGAAAACGCGCCGTTACCGATGGGAAGGGTGCGCATGTTCACTGCAGTACTTGTAGCCGCGGAGCTTATATTGATTTTTCTAAAGCTCCTTACTTTTAATACGGTCCAAGAAGGTGCTTCATAAAAGGAAACAATTAAAAGCGATAAAGTACAACATTGCATAAAATCTTCAATTAAGATATTTTTAATGCGGTAATACCCAAATGAATACACTCTAAATCAGAAAGATCTGTTTTAGCCCTAAAAACAGGGCCGTTTCGGTGAGTAAAATACAGTCCTAATTTTGGGTCTAATTTGGCTCCCTTAAATCAGGGCCAATACAGTCCAATTAGCTAGGGCTGATTTGGTCCCAGGGCTGAAATGGGCCCTACCGTGGGCTGGAATAACCTTTTGATAGAGTTTTTTTGGCCTAAATTGTGCTCAAATTGCTCAGAGAAAAACTGAACACTTCAAGGCAATCACCAGTAACCGTCATTCATCAGCTATTGTAGAACACGTCACTTCAACTGGTCACAATTTGAAATGAGATCATTTTGACATTTTAGCAAGAGGAAAATCAGATACCCACCATTGTAAAATCAAGGAGACTCTTCTTGAGTGATTTAAAACCAGCCCTAAATGAAAATGTACGCAACGAAAAGCTTTACTTAATATACTAGTTCGCATAATTTCGTGCAAATTTTCTCGTCTGTCACATTTTAATATTTGTTTTTTTTTTCCTTTACGTTAATTAGTTACTTACCTTACTTTGTTTTTAAATATAGTTAATAATAATAATGGAATTTATATAGCGCTTATACATCGCTGTTCTAAGGGCAAGTTACTACTCATGTAGTTACTACTCATGTTAACGGTCAGTTCTGAAGATGTATGTTGCAGCATACGAAACGTCAAGTCAAGTCCGTCAATGCGTTTGTTATTTCTGATGTTTGTAAGCCCAGTTTGTGTGTTTAAAACTAAGATGGCCAAAAACCAAGAGCATTTACGATACTATGAAATTGCAATTTTTAAAGAAAAAAGTTCTCTAAACTAGTTTACGCCCGTCACCAAGGTTCACAAGGTTTCTTTAAAAGAAAAAAAAATACAGGGTGGCTCAATCCTTATCTTTTGTGTTTGGGTTTTTGTAGATACTATACTGATAATTTTTAAGGTGAACATCATCCTCGTACAAGTATATGTCGCGATTAGACACTCCAGATACTTTTTCCACTTCATTCTCGTTCATGTTGATCTCGATTACCCAATCGATTTTGGCCCATAATCTTTTGCTGTTTACAACTCGACCTGCGTCGTCGTAGTTGTTGAGGAGTATTTTCTTTGGGTCATTGCTTGGGTCAATAGAAGAAAAATAGACTCCTAAAAAAAAAAAAAAAACTGGTCAAGCTGTGAAACAGACAAGGCGAAGGGTCACGTGTAGCCAAACTAGCAACCATTTCACCGGATAATTATTGACATTTTGAAAGCACAGTTTATACTGGTTGGAAATTCAGAATAACCGTAGGAGAAAATACTAGTTCTGGTTTTTAGCATTTAAAATCAGAGATTACCCTCATATTACTAACGGTATAAGAGTCAACAAACTAGCGATTTACCACAGCCATGTCGTCGATTCTGTATGGGTGTTTCGACGGTAGATCCTTTTATCACTTTACTCTTTTTGATACCATCAGCGCCAGTTTTATCGGTGTAATGATAAAGCGTTATCTGACAAGCAAAAAAGTGGAAATTTCAAACAGTAAGTTTTTACTATGAGAGCTCAAATAAAATATCATCTATATTATGAAAAGTGATCGGTTCTAAGTTTTGTCTGGGGTTCAACTCACAAACAAAACAACAGTCCGTCCGGCTAGCTTTTCTTTAGTATGGATAAGTTAAACAGCTTTTCCAGTTTTTCTAGGGACCGGGTCAGTTGTGTTTGTTGAGTATACGTTCCATTGCAGGGGCGGATCTAGGGGGAGGGTGCAGGGGGTGAGCACCCCCCCCCCCTGGGATGACCTGCAGTTTTCTAATACAACTGGTATTCTGCCAAACGAAAAAACTATGTGGTTTATTGGTGTTGAAGTAGAGCAAGAGAGGAGTGCACCCCCCCCCCTCTAAAAAAATCCTGGATCCGCCCCCTGCCTTGTATCGTTACATTCCCTATATTTCTTATCAGGTGTTGAAAAAGAGGATAAACGCGTGGTCGGTTCACACTAGGCGACACGTTGCACCAACACGTCGCGGTGACACATCAGCAGCGACAAATCGCTTTGTGCGTACTGGAGGATTTTTGTGAAAATCTTTGTTGCTGCAAAAGAATTTTGTCGCCGCAACAAGTCGCACAAATTCAGTCTGATTTGATTTTTTGCGACTTGTTGCAGCGACAAAATTCTGTTGCGGAGACAAAGATTTTCACAAAACTTCTCCTGTACACACGAAGCGATTTGTCGCTGCGACATGTCGCCTCACCTTGTTGCTGCAACTAGTAGCCCGACCTCTTCACATGGAGTGATCTGTCGCTGCGACGTGTTGCTGCAACTTGTCACCAAGTGTGTACCGACCTTAAAAAACTATATTCTATTCATGACCATTATTCACGGAAACCTGCATTTGGGTGTCCAAAGAATCGAAGTCTCCATTTTGTGGAATGGCTTTCATAAAATTGCTCACAATAATACATAAATCGTGATTCATCTCTGCCGCCTACAAGTTTTAAACTTGGCTAGTAAAATCGGTCTTATTAAATACGGGAACATCGTAAAATTGTCACTTAAACTCTGGCCTACGCTGCCAACAATCGCAACACTCGTCTCACTGTGTATGAAAGTCAGTGTTGAAATCGCAACTAGTCTACGTGTTATTTAACAAATTTCATCATATTGTTTTAAAAGACTTACCTTGTGTGACATTTTGGTTAGTTGAAAACAAAGCTCTTCCACAGCTTTCCTGCTCTGCGTTTGATCTTATAAGGCTCCCACTGCAACCGGCGGCGAAGCAGAAACATGAAAGCGGAAGTAACAAACTGTGTGAAAGCAAATTAAAATCACGTGTCAGTTGCTTATCCAATCACTGAACACTTGCCACATCTCCTTACACCCTCTTCTGTTACTAGTTTCCAAACCCTATGTTTCCCGGAAAAAGACCTATATATAGCCATTACTTGCATTTTTAGAATTATTATTTTTCCAGCGTTTCTCTTCAAATTTTCTCAGATTTTTGTGGTCAAACATAAGATCATGGTTGTGATTTATAAAAGCTGCTAGTGGATATTTTCATTTACCTTAAGGTACGGAAAAACGGGCACCGAAAAAACATGCACCTTGTTTTGCAACATTGATACAAAACGAGTTAAATAGCGATGTTGCGCGTTTTACCACTAACGCTCAAACCTGTTAACAACCTGATTTGTTGCAAGACAGGTTTGATGTGGGTGGTAAAAGGCGCATCATCGCTATTCAACTCGTTTTCCCGGGGGGGGGGGGGGNGGGGGGGGGGGGGGGGGGGGGGGTACTCCCTTATAAGGGCTTAATGGGGACGTGCGGCCAGCCAGGGTATGTTTTACGGGATTTTTGTCTTCAACAGCGTATCGATTTTATCAATTTTTGTCTTAAACAGGGTATCTTTTCTTAGACAAGAGCCCAAAACCCTGTTCTCAGACGATAAACAGCCTGCACTTATGTTATACGAATGTCTTAAACTGGGTATCAAAAATCGGAATTCTGTCTTAAACAGGGTGGGAAAATCAGCGATTTTTGTCTTAAACAGGGTCAGGGTATGAGGGGCCGAGCCGCATCTCCCCACCCAAGGATATATCGAGTACCCTCCTCCCCCCCCGGGGTCGTTTTACAGCAATGTTGCAAAACAAGTGACATTTTCAGGTTTTAAAATGTCAAATTCCCCACCCTTAGGTCTCTATTATGACTTAATAGGCACTCACAACACTTTAAATGGTGACAAATGGTACCCACAAACTTCTCAAGTTAATTAAGGCATGCATCTACTATACTTCAATATAAAATATGGGCAAGTTCACAGCGACGAACCGTTAAGTGGTGCCGGAACTCCCAGTTGTAGATCTGGATCAGTACAATAATAACTTGTAGAAAATGTAAAACGACAAACTGATCCTTAGGGCAAGTAAGGTGATTGGGAAGTAAACTAAAGAATGAATCAGAAAATATATCATTTAAACAAATTTGCCCAATTTGAAAGCAAACCTTTTTCAGGGGCTAAAAGAAAAATGAAGATAAAACTAAAGGTTCGTTACAAATAAGAGTTTGAAAATATGAAAATAAAAACAATAGATTGTTATTGGTGTAGGAGACAAGGTTACCGTAGTATCGCATATCAACGAGCTTTGTTACGTCTATTTATTCCTAGGGGAGACAATGTTCCCTTTGTGTATTAAATGAGCGTCCTTAGCCTTTCTCGCTGCGTCACCGGTTGCCGGAGCGTCTAACTTCCATACTGCGCCTATGCAACGGCGTTTTCACAAGTAGGTTTATTTTTAGATAAGCTTTTCCCGCAAATTGCTTTCGAAAAGCCAATCACTAGCATGCGTCATTAATGATAAACTTTTAATACGTAACTAGGACAACTCCTTCACATTGAAAAAAACATAGCGGACACACGCGAGGAATCTTCAGAGGAGTCTTCTGACAGTACTTCAAACGACAATTTCAGCATTTACACGGAAACTAGCAGTTCAAAAGAAGATTTGCAAAACCTAGCCAGGACCTCTACTTCATCGACGACAACGCATAATTCACGCAAAGGGAATTAAATCGAAATCATCTACGAAATAGCCGACTGTGAAAAGGTCCAAGCGAGCTACTAACAGTCTAAACGACGATCAAGTGCAGGAATTGACCTCGTGGAACAGTTATTTTTCGCGGGAAAAGCTTATCTAAAAATAAACTCACTTGTAAAAACGCCGTTGCACGAATTTATGGCAGCTGAACGCTACGGGTTATGGGCTCCTGTTGCTTCGTATGAGTTCAAGTGGGATTCGGAACAAGGTTGGGCCCCCGGGGGGATACTTCCTTATATAAGACCCTGTTTACATGGAGTGGGGGACCCCGGTCTAGTGGGGTAGGTTTCTTTTGTTTTGTGTCCCTCAGAGCGTGAAAACAAAAGAAACCAACCCCACTAAACCGGGGTCCCCCACTCCATGTAAACAGGCCCTAAGCCATATAGGTATGTGCCGCCCCAAAGGTTAGGGTTTTTGCGCCGTTTTGTTCTGAAAACGGGTATAGATTGTGCCCATTTTAGTCTGGAATCGGGTATGGTTTTCCAGGAAATTACCAGAGTGTATGAATGTATTTATCGTCTCAATTCCAAAGGAATAAAAAAGAAAGAGAAATATACGAATTTGAATTCGATTTTAAGAAATCTCTTTTGTTGGCGTTCCAATCTAAGAAGACTTGCCACAAGTCAATCTCACTAGTTTGTAAGTGAGGTCTGAAAACGGTATGGATTTTGGAGGCCAGGTCTGAGAACGGGTGTGAAAAATGACATTTTTTGGTCTGAAATAGGGTCAGGATTTGGAGTTCCGTGCGGCACACGCCCACCAAGATTTCCCAGGAGTATCCCCTCCGGGGTGGAGCTACAGGAAAAGGGCGAGGTGTCTCCCTTGTGAGCAAGGATATCTCTGAAATCTTTTGTGAATTTGTTGATCGATGTCGGCTTTTGCTTTAGGTTTGGTGATATGAGGGTGCCCTTCAGCTGGGTCGGTCCTCTGACTGGAATCATTTGTTCACTGAGCGGTATCATGGTAGTGGCGTTTTACCAGCACTGGTTTTTGAAAAGAATTTCGGATCAAATAAAATTTCTGGGAAACTGCCCACCTACCCCTCCCCTAACCCAACATTTTGCCCCAAGTGAGACGCAAATGTTAACGTTGAGTTAGGGGAGGGGTAGGTAGGCAGTTTCCTAAAAACCTAAATTGATCCAGAATTTCAACTCAAAGAAAGGGGAGGGCAGACCGTATCCAGAAGATAAAAACGGAAATGGCCACTCAAAGCATTCGAGTCGTGTTTCTACTTCGAAATAACTTGGCAAAGAAAGAACTTCAATCGGGAAAAGGTAAAACATGTTTTAAAAAACTCTTGAACTATGTGAAACAACAAATGCATATAAAAAATGCTCAAATTAGAGACGAGAGAAGTGGTTTTCTTTTGAGGTACTTTTATCTGATATGTCAATTAAGGCTTCTCCCTTTTAGTTGATTGTAAGGTGAATCTAATTAAGAGCAAGTAAATTGAATCGAACCCTGTATTCACAAGATCGCAACGTTCTGAGCAATCCCTTGCGTTGTCCTTCTACTGTGTCTTCCCAGGCCTTTTCGGTCAATGCATCTTGGTGAAAAGATTTGCACAAAAATCTCGCTTGTACCACGTGACCCGAAAGGCATAGTCCCCGCGCAAAATGAGGACTAGAAACTAGGCAAAGCAATCTCGCGCCCAGAGTCCCCTTTATCCGTTCCCCTGGACAAGGGTAACGCCGACTCTTGGAGCAAGATAGAATTTGATTGCGAACGCGACTCTTGATTCTCCGCCGGTAGTATAATACATACGTAATTTGATAGCCGACAAGCCATACGGTGAAATTGTTTTAAAATCGGCGTCAATCACTGAGCTATTCGCCAATTTTTAAATACTATGTGGTTTATTGGTGTTGAAGTAGAGCAAGAGAGGAGTGCACCCCCCCCCCTCTAAAAAAATCCTGGA